ATAAGGGTTGGACTGGAGCAGCATTTAGTAATTCTCTGGAACCAAAACCAACCACATTTTAGCACCAAAACACAGCCATGACTCCTGTACCAAGGCTCCCTTTGCACCTGATATTTGGTTTCCCCTTCAGATCATTCAGAACAGACCCTGTCACCTAGTTATTGCAGCACTCACTGGACATTTGAACAAGGACTTTATTTATTTACTACCAGTTTCTCTAGCAAAGGGTGTCTTACACCCTCTCCTGAAGAGACTTCTTTTTCAGTCTCACTGGTACAACCTCAATCCTTGAAATCCTTCACGCAAAACCACAAAACTGGGACCTGCTTCAGCTTCTAGAGCTGCACTGAACAGCAGAAGCATGAAAATCCCAGGAAAGAGACACCACCAGTGCCACTTACCTGGCTACAAAGCTGGCAGTCTTGTCCACAATATTCCTGACCTCAGGAGGAGGGTAAATAATTCCCACCACAGGCTTGGCTGGTGCTGCTTCCTCTTTAGGCTCCTCTTCTGGCTGTAATAAAGACAGTTGCATTGCAAAAGGTGAAGGGGAGTCAGGATTAGGCATCCCAAACAATGGCACACAGGAACCTTTATCCATCCTCCTCCTCAGCCTCTCAGCCACTGAACTGCTTGAACAATCTGGATCATCCATCCCACCAACTCCTTGGACTCTCAGGGGCACCTGCTGCAGGGGCAGGGACAGCAGGACAAGGAAGGTGCCCCCATGGGAACCAAAACAATTTTCACTGTATCAGCCTTGACCCCAAGTATGTTTTTAAATGCTGAGCCAAGAGGCTCCAGTAACATTTCCAGGAATAATTCATCATTCCTCAGCAGCTGTGGAAGTTCTGCATCTTCCTAGGGGCCTGTGGGACCTGAATTATTAACTCCACATTAAATAAAAAACACAGCTTTTAATACCATTGTAGCTGCAACAGAAGCTGTTTTGAAGTGAAAAATCTCCAAGAGTGTTTTTCTCACTGATGTTACAGGAGGATCTGTATTCCAGTAAAACCATAAGATGCTTTGCAGGATAATAAAAATGCTGCTTCTCTTTCCTCACCAAGCAGCTTCCAAGAAAAGGTGTTATAAACTGGGACAGTTCTGCTGGAAATGTTTATAATCCTAACAGGGCTACAGTCAGGGATAATTTAAAATCCAGGTAGAGCTCCCAGCTCTGTCAAATCCATGGAAAATCCAAGCCAGAAAATGTTCTCAAGTCAAACTGGTCCCTGGCAGTGCCCAAGGCCAGGTGGGACAATGGAAGGTGTCCCAGCCCTGGCAGGGGGTGGGATGAGATGGGCTTTAAGGTCCCTTCCAAAACAAACCATCCCATAAAACACAACCTTAACAAGATGTGTTAAGAAAAAGGCACCATGAACATTTCTAGGTTTTATTCCCACTCCCTCAGAACATCATCTTGAGGAGCTGAAGGATGGGGCAACCCTACACTAGTGATATTTAACAATGCTGCTATGTTGCCTTGGTAACAACTGTGCATAAAAGCCACTGGGTTTTTTTTGGGGGGGAATCACAATTTTCCAAGGTTCTCAGCGAGATCAGCTCCCTGTCAGCCCCAAGAGTGCTGATGTTCCTGTGTGAGAGTCAGGACAGCAGCTTCAGCTCTGTGGGAGCTGGATTCTCATCTCAGGAATGCATGAGGAATGAACATTCCCATCTCAGGAAGGCTGCAAAGAACATGAAAATGGCCAAGAGAGAAAGGCTCTGGGAGATTACAGGGACACACAGCACTGCCACACTCCCTCAGGCTTTTAATCCCTCCACACATCATTCCTGGAGCCAGGATAGCTCCCACAGCTCCTGGCAACCCCCCCCCAACTCACTGGAACCACAGCCCTGGGGCACTGCCAGGGAAGGGCTCAGCTCCTGCCCAGCCCCAGCTGGATCCTGCTGTCTCCAAGGAATCCTGGAATGGTTTGGGCTGGAAGGCAACCTTAAAGTTCATCTCATTTCACCCCAGCCCATGGGCAGGGACACCTCCCACTAGCCCAGGCTCCTGGCCTTGGGCACTGCCAGGGATCCAGGGGCAGCCACAGCTGCTCTGGGCACCCTGTGCCAGGGCCTGCCCAGCCTCCCAAGGAACAATTCCCAATTCCCAATATCCCATCCATCCCTGCCCTCTGGCAGTGGGAAGCCATTCCCTGTGTCCTGTCCCTCCATCCCTTGTCCCCAGTCCCTCTCCAGCTCTCCTGGAGCCCCTTTAGGCCCTGGAAGGACTCTGAGCTCTCCCTGGAGCCTTCTCCTCTCCAGGTGAGCACCCCCAGCTCTCCCAGCCTGGCTCCAGAGCAGAGGGGCTCCAGCCCTTGCAGCATCTCTGGTGCCTCCTCTGGACGCTCTCCAAAGCTCCAGGTCCCTCCTGTGCCTGCCCAGGGCTGGGGCAGCTCTGCAGGTGGGCTCTCACCCGAGCGGGGCACAGGGGTCAACACCGCGCACCGGACGAAGCCGCAGCTCCCCCAAGCCCAGCCCGGCCCGGCCCGTGAGGGCCACACTGCCAGAGCCCCGCGCTCCGCGCCATTCCCCGCTCCCCGCCCCTCCGCTCCGCACCGGCTTGCTCTCGGCGGGGGGCGCGGGCTGCGCCGGAGGCACCGCCTGCACGGGTCCGGCGGGCATGGCGCTGCCGGGGCCGGGGGCTCCGCGCCGGGCGGGGCCGATGGAGGCGCTGCCGGGGGCTCTGTGCGGAGCGGGTCCGGCTCTGTGCGGAGCGGACGCGGCTCTGTGCGGAGCGGGCCCGGCTCTGTGCGGAGCGGGCCCGGCTCTGTGCGGAGCGGACGCGGCTCTGTCCGGAGCGGACGCGGCTCTGTGCGGAGCGGGCCCGGCTCTGTCCGGAGCGGACGCGGCGCCGGCTCCGACTGGGGCGAAATGGCGGCGGCGGGCGCTGTGCCGCGCGTGCGCGCCAGAAGTGACGCACCGGGAGCGCAGGCGCAGATGGCCGGGATGTGGGCGGGGATAGGGCGCTGCGGGATGTACCATTAGCGCCCCGCGCGGGGGGGGCAGTGCAAGAATGCACCACTGCAGCGGGGAGGGGCGTGGTTGCCATGGCGACAGCGCTGGGACGCCGCGGCCTAGCACAGCTCCCGGGCCCGGCGCTTCTTCCCCGCGGTTGCTGCTGATTCCTCCGAGCCCCCCGGTTCCCTCCGGCTCCCCGGCACTCCTGGAGGCTGCCGGGCCCGGGGGTGCCGTGCGGGTCTGCTCCAGCAGCCTGTGCCGGTAGGGCTGGTGGCCCCGTCGCTCCCGGGCCTGGTGGCCCCGTTGCTCCCCGGCCGTGTCCCGCCGGTCCCGTGCCCGGCCCACCGCGCCCCATGGCGCACCTCCTGGGCCACCGCGGCTGCATGGAGAGCCTGCGGGCCGACCTGCGGGACCTGCAGGCCGCCATCGCCGACGTGTGCTCCCGGGCCGGCGCCGTGCGCTTCCCCTCCTGGAAGTTCCCCGACAAGGTGTCCTGCGAGCTGGACATAGCGCTGCTGCTGCAGCGCTACAGGCACAGCGACAGCGAGCCCGAGTTCAGCCAGCACGCACACGTGGTGCTGCTGGAGCTGCTCATTGACAGGTGAGAGCCCCCAGGCAGCCCGGAGCGGCTCCTGCCCCGCGGGGAAGGGCACCTTGTGTCTGATGTGCTGGGCTTATCCAAGTCCTAGCAAAGGTTTTGGGCACCTCAGCACAGACAAAGCTGTTAGAGAGCATCCAGATGAGGGCGGAGAGGGTGGTGAAGGGCTGGGCATGAGAGCACTTGGTCTGTTCAGCTGCAACAGAGAAGACTGAGGTCAGATCTCAGCGGGGCTGCAGCTCCTCCCGGGGCACTGCTCTGATCTCTGTGACCGGGGATGGGATTCAAAGGAATGGCTGGAGCTGTGTCAGGGAGGTTTAGACTGGATATCAGGAAAAGGTTCTTCCCCCAGAGGGTGCTCAGGCAGGTGCCCCAGGGAGTAATCACAGAATCAGCTGGGTTGGAAAAGGCCTTGGAGATCATCAAGTGCAACCTAAGATGTAATGCCACCTTATCAATGGCACCAAGTGCCACATCAGGGCCCCGAGGCTGCCAGAGCTCCAGGTGCCTTTGGACAATGCTCTCAGGCACAGGGTGGGATTGCTGGGGTGTCTGTGCAGGGACAGGAGTTGGACTGGATGATCCCTGGGTCCCCTCCAGCTCAGGATATCCCATGTTTTCATGAAGTCTTGGATGCTTTGTTCCCCATGTATCTTCACGATGGGCAGTGCCAGCACCTTGGCCTCATGCTCTGCTGAGTTTAAAACCCAACTCCTTTCCCTGCTTAGAGCTCCCAGCACACACTGGCCACAAAGAAGCAGAGCCAGAGGTGGAGCAGATGGGACAGGCTTATTAAAATACCTCCCAAAACTTTGGAAACAGCTGCATCAACAGCCCCGGCAGGCCAAAGCCCCTTTTGCAGTCTGGGTGAAATAAATACAGCTCTGATTTAAAAGATGAGCCATTCCCACTGAGCTGTTGACCCTAAAAGTCAGGATTTGCAGTGCCAAATCTTTGGGGGGAGCTTAATCACAATTTCTGGGAAGTGGCTGCTGCATGAACTGCCCACACCGGGGCAGTCCCGGGAGCACCCATCCCGCCCTCCCGCATCCCCGGGGCTTTGCCTGGCGATGGGAGGGGGCCAGCCCTGGCCCAGCTGGCAGTGCCAGCTCCAGGGTGTGTTTTCCCGTGGGGACAGGCTGCTGCTGCTGCTGCAGAGCTTCACCGGCTACGCGGACGCGGTGCTGAGCGGGCAGGCGGTGCCGCCGCCGCGGGGCCCGGGGCCCTGCATGTCCGCGGGGCTCACGGCCAGGACCTTCTGGAGCACCATGCTGAAACTCGGGGCCTTCTGCCAGCAGCTCCGCCACGAGGTGGGACATCTGGGGACGTCCCACGAGCTGAGTCACTCCTCTCCCCCTCTGGATTTGGATCGTGGGCCTTCTCAACACCCTGTGGCCGCGCACCCTTTGAGTGCTGGCCCCTGTGTTGCACATCTGTCCCTTCCCTCCGCCCCTCCCAGCTGTGCCACTGCATCCCTCCTGCTCCAGGGTCTCGGGATGAGTGAGCTGGGCTGCCTCTAGAGCTTGGAAAATATTCTCCTACTGCCAAAATGCTGCAGCTCTGCTGATTCCACTGTGGAGCTGAGCTGTCTCAAGACAGTGAAATAATTGGTGGTAAAAACATCCTCTCCTGCATTTTATTTTCCCCAACATGATCTTTCTCATGGAAAAGTCTCAGAACAATCCATGTGGCAAAACCAGGAGGCAGTGCAGAGGGTGGGAAAGAAGGGATGGTGGGGAGTATGTTTTGCTGCTGAGGCTTCCCCTTGGTCACTGTCCCTTTGGCTGCATTGCTGTCCTATCTCAACACCTGATTTAGGCTTTTATGGGTCATTTCCACTTTGATCTGGGCTCTGGTTTCATTCTGTGCTCTCTCCCTCGGGGGAGGGATTGTAGGTGGGAGATCCCCACACAGCAATCCACTCCACCCTCTGCTCCCCAGGCTGGGAAATACCAGAAGGAGCACCTGAAACGCTTCTCTCCAGATGTTTTGGAGTCAGGAACTGCCCCAGAGGCTGCCCAGTCCACTCCTGCGTGCCCCAGCCTGGCTCAGAGCACCCGCAGTGTCCTCACACAGACCCCAGGGTCACCCCTGGGCTCCTGTGACACCTGCTCCAGCGCCCAGGCCAGCCTCCACGAGGTGGGCAGAGCCATCACCAGCATCTGCCAGAGCCAGAACATCCCTTCAGCTCTCAGCAAATTCCAGGAGGCGCTGGAGGACAGCTCAGGGAGAAGGAACCTCTCTGCAACAGACGTGAGCTACTGGGCCTCGGAGCAGAGCAAGGACCTCTCCCGGATCAACAAACACCTCCAGGGGCTGCTGCAGCAGCTGAACCCTGTGAAGGCTGAGCTGGAAGAGATGGGCAGACAGAAGGACAAGCTGCAGAAACAGGTTGAGGACTTTTCCAGGAAGCTGTGGGCAGAGAAGGCCACCCAAGCAGAGCAGCAGAAGAAGGCTGAGCAGGGCCTGAAAGCCAAGGAAAAGGAGCATTCCGAGGCTGTGGCCAGGCTGGAGCAGGACAAGGATGATCTCCGGAGAGGTACAGAGGCCGGGGGGCATTTGCAGGCAGAATAACAGTCTTTGGGCAAATTTTGGCCCCTCCACAACCAGCAGGACTTTTAGTAGGTGCTGGGGGATTCTCCCTGCTGTGAGGCCAATCCCAGGCAGTGGGAGTTGGTTGTGTGTCCTATCATTGCCTCCTCCCTGGTAGCACAATCAGGATGAAAACTCTTTGGTGTGGCTGTTTGCTGCCCCTTGGTTTAGTTTTATTTTGAAGAACTGGTTAATGAGAGGGTTTTTGTACTGGTTTAGGAGCTGCTCTGCTGGAGGAGCAACTGCGGGCCCTGAAGGAGGAGCTGGCAGCGAAGCAGGTGGCTGTGCAGGAGCTGGGTAAGGGGCTCACGCAGGGACTCACCCAGCTCACACATCTCCACCCTCACCCTGGCCTCACGAGTGTTTCACACCCGTGTAGCCCCCTGCACCCCCAGACTGGGCTGTAGAGCTGAGGGGATGGGCAGAGGATGGGCCTCCTTCACTCAGCCAGTGCCAGAGTGGGCTGATGCTGCTGGAGGTTTGGGGAGGTGGGGGGTCACAGGCCTCCTGTCAGACCTGCCTCCCTTTGCCAGGGCTTGTGGAGGGCATGGGGTGCCCCTGAACAGAATCACAGACTGGTTTGGACGGGCAGGGACATTAAAGCCCATCCCATTTCACCCCTGCCATGGGCAGGGATGCCTTCCACTCTCCAGCCTGCTCCAAGCCCTGTCCAGCCTGGCCTTGGACACTGCCAGGAATCCAGGGGCAGCCACAGCTGCTCTGGGCACCCGTGCCAGGGCCTGCCCACCCTCACAGGGAATAATCTCTTCCTCCTATCCCATCTAACCTTGCCTTCTGGCAGTGGGAAGCCATTCCCCCTTGTTCTGTCACTCCAGGCCCTTTTCCCAAGTCCCTCTCCAGCTCTTTTGGAGCCCCTCCAGGCACTGGAAGGGGTTCTTAAGTTCTCTCTGGAGCCTTCTCTTCTTCAGGCTGAACACCCCCATCCCTCTCATCACCTCCATGGCCCTCCAGCCTCCCACCCTGCCCAGCCTGGGCCATGGTGGCTGTGTCTTCCCAGAGCTCTCCAAGACCACCTTGCTGGAGGAGATGAGGACCACAATGGTGGCCCGGAGCCGGGTGCTGGAGTTGGAGGAGAAGGTGCAGGTGCTCACAGGCCAGAGGGACAGCCTGGAGCAGGAGCTGAGTGCCACCAGCATGCAGCTGGAGAAGGAGAAGGTCCGTGTGGAGAGCATGTTCCGGCACGAGGAGGTACGGCCGCTCCGCAGCGGTGGGATGGCTGAGCTGCTGCTGCTGCTGCTGTCAGGGCTGTGGGGAATGGGTGCCCCAGCCCCACACGGGCTCACCCCCCACCACAGTCCCTGCAGGCCAAGCAGAGGACCCTGCTGCAGCAGCTGGACAGCCTGGACCGGGAGCGTGAGGAGCTGCAGGCCAGCCTGGGAGAGGCCGAGGAGGACAAGGCCCGGCTGGCTGAGCAGCTGCAGCGGAGCCAGGAGCAGAGTGGGAAACAGCTCCAGGCACAGCAGGTGAGTGCTGGTACCCAGGTGTGGGACACAGCTGTGTCACTGAGCTGTCAGGAGCCACACGCTGCCCTGCCCACAGCCAGAGTTTTCCCAGGAGGGGTACTCTGAGGCCTTGGGTGACATTGCCACATGGCCACATCCCCGTGGGATTCCCTGGGGAAGAGCCCTCTCCCTCCACCCTGTGCCAGACAAGTCTCTAGTTGATTCAGGGCAGAGGGAAGCAGCAGGAAGGGACATCTTGAGGTGCTTCCACATCTCCAGTGTTCTGTTCTTGGACACCTGGACATGCTCCACATTTCATGGTTTGTGTTCCGGCTCCCAGCACACACAGGGATCTCACAGCTAAAGCCCTGCACATTGTCCACTTCCAACTGCCATAGGACATCATTGTCATCAGGGACTAGAGCCTTCCTTCCATGAGAGGCTGAGTCCTCACTCCTGACAACTTCATCTCCTCCCCACCATGCCATGCAGGAGCTGCTGGACACGCTGCAGCAGGAGAAGCTGGCACTGGAGCAATCCATCCTGGAGCTGCAGGCAAACACATCCCGGCTGGAGGAAGAGGCACAGGAGCTGAGGAAGCGGGAAAGGCTCCTGGTGTTGTTCCCTGATCTCCACGTCCCCACTGAGACGCAGTTTGAGAGTAAGGGAGCAGATGGCAGCACAGTGGGTTTGTGCCTTGGGGTCTCCAGAGCTCCCAGGGGATCCTGCTGGCCCCAGACACTCCGTTTGTCCCACTGATAGCTGGGAAGTGCTCAGACCCCGTGCAAAGCTGTGACCATCCCAACATGGGTGCTCCCTGCATGGGCGCTGTGCATCCCACATCTGGGCCAGGACATACAGCAGGACCAGGACATGGCAGAGCTTCCTTTGCCCACAGGGCTTGGGGTCCCAGCTGCCACTTCCTGGGCTGTGCCACTGCTCCCTGCCCGGGGCAGGCTCCTTTCCTTGGCAGGCAGGAGGGACGCCCATGACTCTGAGCAGACAGGCAGCAGCAGCAGGCTGGGCTTTGTTGGATTTTGTTTGCAGGCAGTGGGAACTTTACAGAGGACATGGAGAGTCAGCTCCAGGCCAACAAGATCCGGATCCAGGTGCTGGAGCAGGAGAACACACGGCTTGAGACTCTGCTCACCAAGGTGAAGGCAGCAGCTGAGCAGGGCGTGCTCAAGGTGAGCTGGGTGCCACAGGAGTGGGTGCTGTGTATCCCAAAACTACCCTGAGGCCCGCACACATCCTCTGGTGACCCCAGGAGGACCAAGTCCAAACTCCTCATGCTGCTGGGAGGTTGCTCTGGTTTAACTGGTGTTGCCTGAGGTGCCCAGGGCATGGTAGCTAAGGGATGTGACTGGAGCTGAAACTGGTGGGGGGAAATTTCACCTCCTCTTCCTTTCCCCAGCTCGTCCCACAGGCCCAGCTGGGGTCCCAGCTCCACAGGGAAGCCAGCAGGCAGGACATTGGGTGAGTAGGAACCCAGAGGAAAGAGCTGGGGGTGGATTCCCTGCACTTCCTCCCCTTTAACTGCTCCCACCCCGCAGGCGGCTCAGCAGCGGGAGCAGCAGGGACAGCACAGGGATGCCAGGATGCATTGACAAGGCCTGGCATAGAGCCCCCAGCAGCCAGCACTCCAGGAAACTCCGGGCAGAGCTCACGTCCCAGGCCAAACCCTGCCTAACTCTCCCAGTGCAACGCCTGGGGCTTGGCCTCCACTCACACCACACCGCAGCTCACCGCAAATAAACACGGATCAGTCCGAATTTCCTAACAGAGAAATTGTTCCACCAGCAGCCACCTGCCCTGCCCAGGGGACCTTGTTACCAGCTCTTTGTGCGTCAGGAAGGGAAACCAGGGCTCTGCCTGGTTCCTTGGGGAGCTGCTCCAGGGACGTTCCTGGGCACTGGGATCAGTCACCCATGGCTACGCTGCTGCTGGAGTTCCCCAGAAGAGCCCTGGGGTTGGTGCCAGGGCACAGCGTGTGCTAGCTCCTGCCAGGATCCATTCCCAAGAGGGGACTGGGATGTGGCCACACTTGGAAGAGGAAAGCAGAGCTGGCGTGGGATGAGAGGAGTGCGAGCTGCCCTCAGCCCACCAGCACAGCCACAACCTGGGAAAGTCATTCCCCCCTCCATCCATGAGCACCAAGGGGCTGGGAACCACTGAGTCACTGGCACAGGCTGGCCCTGACCTCTGAGCTGCCTGCCCAGCACTGAGCCCCACGCAAAACCCACACAAACCACACAGCCAGCCCTTGCTCCATGTTTAATAGGGATGGACACGTGCCATGGTGTGTCCCCAGCGACCGTGCTGGTGAGCCGAGCCCTGTGTTGGCTCTCCAGCCAACTCATGCCATCCTTTCTAATAAGTTATTATAAATAAAGGCTCCAACCCCTGCCCTCCCACGGTGAGGCTGTGAGTCACCCCACAGCCCTGCCAGCCCCAGCCCTGGCAGGTCTGTCACCCACCTCCCGGAGGGGCTGGCACGGCAGCCAGGCTCTGCCTACCCTGCCACAGCTACCAGCAAATAGACAAAAAACCCGACAATTAGAAAAATTACTGTGAGCAGGGCAAGAGTGCAGCAGGACCAGGGCTCTCCCTGCCCCAGTCCCCACCCTGTTACACCCATGGGTGCCCCAAGTCTTCCCAGCACTGTCCAGCTGGATCCCCCACCCCTCTACTCACACCCAGCAGGACAGCCCAAAGTCCTTCCCTCTCCGAAGTCTGGGCACTGTGATGGGCACAGCCACACCAACCCTGCTCCAGCAGCAAGCGCTGCTCGATGGGCACCCCCTGTCCCCTCCTGTCCCTGGAGCAGCTGTGGGTCTGTCCCTGGAGCGTGTCCTCGGGCCAGCTAGCTGTCCGTGCAGCAGTTCCCTGCAAAGGAGGACAGACAGCCTTGGCACAGGGAGCCTGGCAGGCTCCAGCTCCTCCCCAGCCTGTGCCCCAGGCTCAGGGGGGCTCAGCTGGGCACCGGGGCCGTTCTCACCCAGGATGTTGCGCTTGCAGAGAGGGCAGGTCTGCTGCAGCAGGAGCCAGGGATCCACACAGTCCCGGTGGAACTCATGGGAGCAGGGCAGCACCCGCAGCCACTGCCAGCAGGGAAGTGAGGGCACATGTGAGCACAGCTGGGTGCCAGGGACACAGCCCAGACCCTGGCAGGGACACCCCGGCCCCGGCCAGCGACCGGAGGCTCGGCCGGGGGTGGGCTCCAGTCCCACCTGGCTCTTGTGGAACTGGTCCAGGCACACAGCACAGCTGTCGATCTCGCAGGCCCGGCTCCGGGGCGGCTTCCCAGGATGGTACCGCCGGGTTTTCAGCGCCGACAGCCGCCGCCGGATGTGCTGCTTCAGGTCCAGCTGTGGGGGCAGAGGTGAGGGTCAGAGCCCACCCCAAAGCCCCGGCACGGTGCACAGCAGACACATTCCCACATTCCCACCTCGGCGTCCCGCTCCGACAGGTCCTGCCGCGACTGGCGCTGGGCCTGCACCATGACGCCGGTGCAGAGCAGCAGGGCGATCAGCAGGATGGTGTTCCACAGCTGCTGCAGGTACTTCTGTGGGGACAGCGCGGTGGGGACGGCAGCCGGACACCCGGCCCCGCTCCCGGCCCCGCTCCCGGCCCCGCTGGAGCCCGGTGCCGTACCTGGACCTGCGAGCTGCTCTCCCCAGGGCAGATGACCCCCTGCCACTCCCCGTAGAGGCCCCCTCGGGACAGGCCGCAGGTGGACCAGAGCGTGAGGGTCACTCCCTGCAGGGCAGGACACGGCATTGCTGATGGCCACGGCAGCGTCCAGCGATGGCAGCACACATGTCCCAGGAGGAGGAACTCTGCTGCTGCCAGCTGCCCTGTGCCCATAGGTTCCCTTCCCTGTTCCCTGCAGCTGCTTCCCATTGATCGGAGAAGTTTGGCTGGGCACAGTCATGCCCTGCTCTCCCATTGGCAGAATGAGGAAGAGGACAGACAAACATACCAGGTTTTCCAGCAGCACTGCCTGGTACGTGATCTTCGCCGTAGCCTGGAGCCCACTGTGAGCAAAGAGGAAAGTGTCAATTCCATGGACACGGCAAAATTTGGGCACAGCTCCCCTGTGCCAGGGGATGGGCAGTGACTGAGGGGACCAGAGGAACATGCAGGGGAGGTGACAGCAAGACACTTCCTCCCCAGCTGTGCCCAGCCCTCAGTGACCCTGCACAGGGCTCTTCCTCCCAGCCTTGTGCCTCAGTTTCCCCATGTGTGGCAACACGGCAGTAATCCCACTAGTCAGGAGGATAGACAGGGTCCCACTGCTGCTGCTGGTGAGAACAAACACCCACAGAGGTTGTTTGACAAGAAGCAACCGGTCTGGATAATTTCTACTGAGAGTGCTAAAGCTCTTGGCTGAGGCCACCTGCCACCACATGGGACCTATGGAAGGGCTCCTGCCCTGGGGAAGGGACGGATCTGACCCAGATCTCCCCTGGAAAAATATCTCAGCCCCAGCTGGCCTTGGCATGGCTCAACACCACCCCAGCAAACATGATGGGCTGAGTCAGGGCTGTGGGGAATGGGTGCCCCAGCCCCACACGGGCTCACCCCAGGTGGTCCCTGGGTGTCACAAGCTGCTGGGGGACAAAGCAAGGCCAAGGTAGTGACAAGGCAGGGCCCAGCCCCTCCCACAGCACGGCCGTACCGCAGCAGCGCTCCCAGCAGCCTGGTGACATTGTCTGAGGACTGGATGATGACGACGGGCTTGGCCAGCAGCTGGGACACGTCCAGCTGCAGCGGGAGGGAAGCAGAGCGGTCAGCGGGGCGCGATCCCCGCCCGGCCCCGCCACTGGCACTGCCCTACCTCACGGATGGCGTTCTGGTTCAGCGCCAGGATGAGCAGGGCAGAGGCCCCCAGCACCAGAGCTCGCTTCATCTGCAGGGACAGTGGGGACACCATCAGGGGACAGCCGGGCTGTGTCCCCAACAAGCTCCTGTCCCGCTGCAGGAAGCACCCAGCACGTCCCTGCCACGGGGAAGAGTCACAAGGGACCCAAGAGGAGCCAGAAGCTGTCAAGAGACCCCCCTGGGCAGCCAAGCACAGACCAGGACCCCTCAGATCTGGCCAGGAGACACCCCAGGCGACACCCCTGTGGGTTTGTGACCTGCAAACACCACGGCAGCCTCAGGCCAGGCAGGGGAGACAGGGTCAGACAGAGGGTCACCTTGGTGACAACGGTGGTGGTGAAGGACTCCTCCTTGGCACCCCGGGGGCCCTCAGCCGGCTCCTCGGTGCCCACGGGCACCACCCCGATCCAGCTGTCGGCAGCGCTCAGCTCCGGCTCCACGTCACCCACCTGGGGACATGGCAAGGAGAGGGAGAGCTGGGATGAACCCCAAGGTTCAGGGCACCCCGAAAGCACCCCCATGCCCCAGGAGTCCTGGTGAGTCGGGCACTGTGTGGGGACAGGGAGAGCAGCTGGGGTAACACAGTGAAAACAGCCTGGCCCCCACTGCCACTGTGCCCCTGCGTGCACCTCCCGTCTGCTGCTGGCCACACCCGAGCACCGGGCATCCTGCCCTGGTCAGCCCCCAGTGCCTCCGGCCTCCCCACCAATCCCCCAGTGCCTCCCAGCGCCCTTCAGTTCCCACTCCTCCCTGCCTCATTCCCTTCCCACTGCCCAAGGACTCACGGCAGCACACTGACCGTGCCCTGCCAATGCCCCCTGGTCTCTTAATGCCTCCCAGTTCCCACTGCTTCCCCTCATCACTGCCGCCCAGCAGCCAGCCCCACCCGCAGCAGCCCTCGATGCCTCCCAGTGCTCCCAGTCCCCACTGCTCCCCTCCCTCCCTTGCTGTCCCCCAGTACCTCCCAGAGCCCTCCACTTCCAGCTTCTCCCCTCCCAGTCTGGGCAGTGCCGGCAGCCCCCAGCCCCACCCGCGCTCACCAGCACCAGGCGGCCTCGGATCTCCATCTCCTCCCGCTCCCCGCGCGGGCCGCCCCGGCCCGGCCCGGCCCGGCCGCCCCCCGCTCCCAGCACGGCCCCGCGCAGCGTGTACGAGCCGCCGGGCACCGCGGCCGCGCCGCCGGCCCCGGCCGGCCCCGCCGGCCCGGGCCCCGACACGGCCACCTCGACCCGCGCGGGGGTGGCGGGCCCCGGGCCGGCCCGGCCGAGCGCCAGCAGCGGGGCGAGCAGCGCCGCCCGCACCGCCGCCATGGCTGCGCGCCCCGCGCCCCGCGGCGCCCCCTGCCGGCCCGGAGGACCCCGCGCCTCGCCGCCCGCAGGGGGAGCCCGAGAGCCGGAGCGGGACAGGAGCGGGTGGGAACGGGACAGGGGTCGGGACAAGGGTCGGGATGGGAACGGGACAGGGATCGGGACAAGGGTCGGGATGGGAACGGGGACAGGGATCGGGACAAGGGTCGGGATGGGAACGGGGACAGGGATCGGGACAAGGGTCGGGATGGGGACAGGGACCGGGATGGGAATCGGGACAGGGATCGGGATGGGAACGGAGACAGGGATCGGGACAAGGGTCGGGATGGGGACAGGGACCGGGATGGGAATCGGAACAGGGAGCGGGATGGGAACGGGGACAGGGATCGGGATGGGAACGGGGACAGGGATCGGGACA